AGTAGTAGTAGTAGTAGTAGTAGTAGTAGTAGTAGTAGTAGTAGTAGTAGTAGTAGTAGTAGTGGTGGTCGGAGGAGGTGGAGGGGAGGGGAGGAGGACGCGGAAGAAGGGGAGGTGAAGAGGAAGAGTCGTTTGTCTTGGGCGCGGGTTAGGGACAAGCGCTGGCAGTGCAAGTACAGCCTCTTACAAGCCTGAATCATGCAACGGCCGAAGTCCGCAAACAACTTCGTTAATTGTTTCCACCCGCCGCCAACTCCACCACCATTTTTGGTCACACCTCCCCCGCCCAAGAGTGGGACGGAAAAAGACGGACTAGCACTTGGCACTGACGCTGTTCGGGTGTCAGTTTCCGCCACTGCGTGGCGATCGGTGCAGCCCAAACTGGCGACGAGGAGCAGGCGTTCTAACAGAAAGCCAGGGTACAAGACAAACAAAGCACAAGAGATACATGCAAACGTTTTGCCTTTTTGGTCTCGTTGCGAGCCTGCAGCGGCGGGCGCAAAAGGGCTGGTGACATTCATCAGAGTCATCAGACAGCGCGCAGTGTTGGCAAGAGACGGCAGAGCCAGAAGATCATTGTCGTCTTCCTCTCTGGGATGCACCAGAACTCCCTTCAACTGTACGTGATGCGAACATTCGTTTCGCTCGGGAAGGGTTGGATGCCGAAATCATGGGGCATATAGACACCACCTGGGGGTACACAAGGCTTGAGCAGTGACGATATCACTGGGGACAGGGAACCCATTGAAGTTACTGGTATGGTGAATTTGACCTACATTGCTAATCCGTGCGTTACTCGTAGGGTGCCCCCCATCCATCATGCGATTCAAGCGGCCGACAGTACCAAGAGCACGCGGTCTGACCATGCACTCGCGCAGCAACTCCGCCACACCAGCCCTCTAGTAGCGGCCACATCGAATACAAAATACTACATCCTTCAGGCGACGCATGACCCCACAAGAAGGTTCATGCAGTTGGACCCAAGAGTCGCTGCTTTGACGCACGACTGGCTTAACATGTAACGCATCGACATTGTCCTAGCCCAGGACCCCAGAAGCTGGTGGATGGCACCTTCAGAGGCACCTGGCAACACTGGGAGCGGTTCCACATCAGCATGTCGAATCTCCTTCGCCACGTGCATAAAGATCCAAACAATGCATTCTCCTATGCGCTTCGCGCAATTGCATAACTAGTACAGTGGACCGCGTCGCACGACCAAACATGACTTGATCCTGAAAGTGGAGGGCCGCACCAAGTTTTGCTAAACGGTCGGCCTCCTGATTCCCTTCATAGTGTTCGCCTGCAGCTAAGCGGCCATGAGACCAAACCTTGGGTGAGCTTACTCGAATGGTAGTTTAGATCAGAAGCTACACGATGGACCTCTCGCCATAGGGAGCAATGCGTAGCCCGCCCATGCATGGCTGCCTCCAAGCCTTGGGCTCAAGCACCAAGTACACAAAGACTAGAAGTTATGTGCTCATACACAAGGCTGGTAGTGGCATGCGTCATATAGAAATGAAACGTATGCAGCTCCGTACCGGGTACCTACACGACCACCCTTTGGGTGATAAGGAGGCTGGGGGGTAGGGGGAATAACAAACTGCTGGCAAATGCGATGGTTGTGATGATGACGATGCTGGTGATGTGCCCTCGAGTTAGCCATGACGCATGATGGCGATGTTGCGCTGCGATGTAATGTCACTATCGCCCGCGCTGTCGATGTCACTCGACCGATCCCACTATACGGCCAGTCTTAGTACCAGTGGATTCAGCGATCGATCCCTTCGTGCTCGCCCCAAGGAAAATCGACCGACCCCGCGAGACCTGCACGACCCATGGGACATCGCCTCTCTGCGCAGCCGGCAGCGCGAGCACAACCAATGTCGCAATCAACCTCGCTGTCGATCTCACTTTTGATCCCACTATCCGTCCCACTCTAACGATCTCATTATCGATCCCACTATCGACTTTAATATCGATACCAAGACGCGACACCCCCGGCCACCACCCGCCCACCGCCGACGGAACACCGACGGGACACCAACGGGACACCACAGGACACCACGGCGGGACACCCGGGGCCACCACGCGCCCACAAGTGGCGGAGGGGCTGTCCACTGCATCCGAATCGCCCTAGCGTCGGCGGGGTCATTCGACTCGCGCGCCCACGCAACTTCGCCTCGCCCGCACGCGCGATACGAACACGAAACCGAAACCGATTTCCAGGTGGGGGGCTCTCCGTTCCACTGCGATCTCACTCCCCAACCTTCGACATCCTGAACCATAATGGGGGATACAGCCATATGCTGACGCGTGAACTCGAACACCAGCGAAAGAGCACGCTCACACACACACACACGCACCTCAACTAACCAAAGTCGTAAGAGGGGACGACCCACAGATCCCCAAGCCGTCTCCATACGAAGGCGACGAGAATATGAGCCCAGCGCGAGCACAGCCTCACACTAGCTGGGGAACGGGGGCGCGACGAAAGAACCACGGCGTGGATCAATCAGTAACGCAGACGTCCACACTGGATTGTCCCTATGTTGTGAGAAGCAATGCCTGAGTGCAAGGGTATCACGGAACCATTTGTGGAACTCAATTAAAGCGCGGCAATCCCAAAGGGTGTTGCAGACAGAGATTACGGGAACTAGACCACACAGAGGCCAGAAAGGAATTTAGAACTCCCAGGCATGGAAAAAAGGTTCCAAGCACCTCAGTTGGGCAATGGGCAGTGGCACTGCTGAAGATATCAATGGTGATGCTTCTGTGCAAAGGGCTGCGTTGTGCTTCTCTGCGCCGTGACGCGCCGCACAATGACATGCCAGGGGACGCGCCGCGTGCCAGCGGACGTGCCAGGGGACGTGCCAGGGAACGCTCCATGGGACGCGCCGCGCGACGTGCACAGGGGAAGCGCCAGGGAACGTGCCCGAGGGTCACGATCCCTCGACAATTACGCTACGTCCGCGCCCCCCATGGCTAAGATTTCTCGTGAATTGCGAAGCGTCCACGCTCCCAGGGCCACGAAGCACTCCGCGGTGGTTGCCCAGAAGAGCCCCCTCTCCAGCAGAGCAGAATGCAATACAATTCTGCATTGGAATATGTGTTCGGGTGGCGCTTTTCGCGTCCCCCCCCTCCCCCCTCCGCCGTTTCCTGAAAATTCGGCGCTGGACCCGAAAGCACGAATCCTCGCAAATTAATTTGCGCCCTTGCTCCCAAGGCCGCGTTCCCTCGTAAATCACGCCAAGTTGCGGTTTGCGCTCCTGGGGCCATGATCCCTTGCAAATTACGCTGGCTTCGCGCTCCCAGGGCCGCGTTCCGGTGAAAATTACGCTGGAGCCACGCTCCCGGGGCCACGATCCCTCGTAAATTGAGCTGCGTCCGCGCTCCCAGGGCCACGATCCTCGTAAATTGCAACTCTCCCCATCCTGGTGTGGTTTTGTCTAATACGGCCCTGGTGGAGTCCAAAGGGGGGGGGGGCAGAGAGGTGACTGTACAGCGGTTGCCGTTCAGAGGCCTGCTGCCAAGCCCACACATGCGCGGCGCGGATCACTAAGCTTACGATTTCACGAGGGAATGTAATTGTGATATCAACTTTGAACCCCTGCGATGTCTTCCAAACTGTGGGAGGTTCCAAGGACCAACCAATGCGTAACATATTGACGACAAGTCTTTCGCCAGGACCTTGCAACGCTGTCGACGTGGCTTGCATTGTAAGTACTCGGGCTGCCGCCATCAAATCACTTTCAATAATTCCCTCCCTGGGATGTAAAATCATCCACTTAGATACAGCCCAGAATGTAATACCCTCCGTGTGAGCATCCAGGGCAAGGTCAGTTACACCAGAAAGAACCAGGTCCATGATAACAAGTCGACGAGTCCATGATCAAAATCCATCATGATCAACATACCGCATGTGATTAATGTGTCACGCGCTGAGGCCAACAACATCTATGCCAAAAATGACTGTGGGCCTCATGCTGGTGTTTGCAAGAATACCGTGTCCACGACCACCTGTACGCCTTAGTCGGACTAAACGTTTAGCTTTGCCCATCGCAGTTCTGATACGTTCACTCAAGACACCGCGGACTCGCTTGCTAAGACGCACCTGGTTGTCTATTCCTAGGTTCCTGCAATAGAATCGAGCTGCTGCCTCAAAACAAAGGGTCTCAGCAACAATCTTCCTCGCACGTGAAGCATCCGACGCAAGCAACACCATCCGTCCCCATTCCCAGAACCTAAACACCATCAGCCACAATCCCAAAATGTAAGGACAGGTAGATACGTCACACTGTATCGAACTCGGACATCAGCATGATACGCACGAACACATCCGCAGAGAAACATCTCACAAGGATTGCGATGTCTGCCGAACGCCATCCTCCTCCGACTATACGACGGGAGGCGACAACGCGGGGACAGCGATACATCCCCAGCAGAACTCTCAGCAATCAAGGGTTGAGGGCACAGACGATCTCTGAATCAAGAAGCGTTGGCGAACCTGCTCTCAGGCCTTTCTAATGTACAGCAGCAGAGCGAAGACCGAGAGACCATGCGCTGCTGTGTACTCCGCCAAGACACTCATGCGCCATGTGCATTGCTGACAGGAGTGGTTGCGTACTCCGTGGATGTATCGACGTGTATGCTGGCGCGCCCATGCAATACCGTGCGTATGCCTGAAGAGGAGGTGCATGTCAGAAGGGGGATAGTCAATATGAGGAGGAGGAGGATGAGGATGATGAGGAGGAGGAACCAGAGCCCCCGCAGGAGGAGGGGGAGGACTACGAGGCACAGAAGGAGGTGCGGAGGTGGAGGAGAAACAGGAGAGCAGGATGGCACGAAGGGCAGCGGACGAGGGGGATGAGGGGATCTGCTTGGCCACCTCGCCTTCCCCCCCCATCCTCCCCGTCATCTTCCTCCCTCAGAAGGGGAGCCTCAGGATGCGTCGCGTTTATTGTTTTGTTAACTGCTTTGTTTTTGTCCCCCACCTACGGCTCCTCGGCGTCGGCGTCGGCGTCGGGCTCGGGCAACGGCTCCACGGCGGGCGCTGGCGCCCGGCCGGGGAGCGAGGCCTGCTCCCGGGGGGGCGTCGTCGTCGTCGTCGTCGTCGTCGGCGTCGTCGTCGACGTTGGCGGATGGCGAGGAGGGCGAGGAGGAGGCGAGGGATGAGAGAGAGACGGAGAAGGACAAGGAGGACGTGGAGGGGGGGGTGGAGTAGGGGGGGGAGGAGGGGGAGGATGATGAGGGGGGTGGGGGCCTTGGAGACGAGACGGGAGAGGATGGGGGAATATCCTGCTTCTCCTCAGCCTCCTCCTTCTCGCCCTTTCCTAATTATGCTGCTCCTCCTCTCGCTGGCTCTGCTGCTCTCACCATCCATCCTCCTGTTCCTCCTCGTTCCCTTCCTGCTCTTCCCGCTCCTCCTTCCCCTCTCCCTCTCTCTCTCTCTCCCCTTTCGCCTCTCCCTCTTCCTCTCCCTCTCCCCCCCCGCCCAGTCCTCTCCGCTGATGGAGGAGAAACGAGGGGGGAGAGAGATGCAGAACGAGGGTAGCCATTCTATGACTTGAAGTGCCTGTGCACGGCTCACGTGGGCGAGCAGTAGCAGCCTCGACCCACACGGCGAGCTCAACTGAGGCGAAAACGACGGAGGAGCGCACCCTTAGCTTCAACAGGCTGCGGCGCTCTGCGAGCGAGAACAGCATGACATACAGGCGCCGCAGGAACTGCGATTCTGGCTGGCACCGTTGACGCGAATCAAGAGAGGTCGCTTAGCGTCAACGCCTCCAGCGCCCCCGACCTCCACCCCTCGTATCCGCTGCGCCATCGAGGGCAGCAGCCCTGACAAGTACGAGAGCGCTGATGACGGAGACCCTTGCCCGCCCGCGCACCTGCACAGGGCGAAAGAGGATGATGATGCTGATGATGGTGATACTGAAGATGATGCTGGTGGTGATGAGGATGATGATGTCATGAAGGTGGTCATGCTGATGATGGTGATGATGGCGAGGAGGAGGAGGAGGAGGAGTGGAGTGGAGCAGACCGAGACGCGGTTGAGGATGCTGAGGTGGAGTCTCAGCAGCTTGAGGCGGCCAATCTCCGACGGGGCGGGACTGGCGCCAGACTGCAGGTTGTGATGCACACGCTTCAGTGAGCCTGGCGCTGGATCGTACATCGTTAGCGTTTTCGTTGGGACAGCAAGAAAAGAGAGGGTAAATGGCTACCGAGAAGACGGGGTGAACGGAATGGCGGCCGTGCAGGGAGACGGGTGCCAATGTGAGGGCAGGGGCGACGTGCAAAGTGAGGGTTGAATGCGCCTATCAGGGAGCTCAGGGCTGGCCGTGTCCGCGAGGCTATTCTCACTATCGACCTCAACCATCGTGAAATCAGCCCAAGCGTCGGAACATCGGAGGTGAGGCCGGTTGTTCTCCAGCACGGCTCGCCGCATGACCCGCCACCATTCGTGGAACAGCGTGCTTTGCAGCGACTTCGCCCGCTTGGACACGAAGCGGCGCATGGAGACGAATCGGCGCAGCGACCGCACCACGAGATCAGGGCGCACGTAGCGAGCGCCATCGGGATCTCCCTCGGCAGCTGCACTGGCAGCAGCACGTTGGCCGCCGTGGGCGGCGGCAGCATGAGCAACCAGAGGAGCGGCGGCACCATGAGGCTCTTCACGAAAAGGGTCATGCAGAGAAGCTAGCTGGTGCCGATGTTCGCCACCAGAGGCAGCAGCAACAACATGTCTGTGCAGGAGAGCGTCGTCACCAGGCAGATCTTCAGGAGCGAGGTCACGCAGTGGATCGCCATCATCGACGGCAGCAGTTGGAGAAAGCAGAGCGTCGGCGCCGTGGGGAGCACAATGCACTCGTCGAGGCCGATGTCCACCACCAATCACGGCAGCAGCGGGCACGTGTAGAAGAACGCCACCGCGATGAAGCTCTTCAGGAACGGTGGCTTGCAGACGTTCGCCACCAGCGGCGCAGCGGCAGGAGCGTAAAGATGCAGGAGAACTGGTTGGTGTGGGTATTCGCCACCAGCGGCGGCAGCAGCAGGAACCTGCAGAGGAGCGTCATCGCCATGAAGCTCTTCAGGAGTGGGGTCATGCAGAGGTTCGCCACGATCGCTGTTGAGCGCACCATGAACTCGGCGATGCGAACGTACTCCACCAGCAGCGGTAGCGGCAGCTACGCGCAGAAAAGCTTCAGCACCATGAGGTTCTTCAGGGACAGGGCCATGCATGATAATTAGATGGAGCAGATACGCGCCACCAACGGCGGCAACATCAAGTCCGTGCAGAGGAACGTCATAACCATGAATCTCTTTGGGGGTGAGGTCATGCAGATCGCCATGGAGCTCTTCAGAGACGGGGCTATCAGTAGGACGCCAGCACCGTGAAGCGCACCACGAACTAGGGGACACGAACGCACGCCACCAGCGACGGCATCGGCAGGAGCTTGCAGGAGAGCTTCAGGACCATGAAGCGCTTGTTGTCCGCCACCAGCGTCAGCACGTGGAGGGTAGGGCTCGAGCTAAACAGCTAAACAGTATGTGTCGTTTTCGTTTTGCTTTCGTTGTCCTTCGTCCTGTCTTTGTGTCACCTTTGCAAACGAAATCATACCGAACAGGTCCACGATATCGCCAACTTGTCGCTTAGTTCGAGCCCTGGTGAAGGGAGTGGTCCCGCGCCTCCACGATCAGAGACGAGAGCAGCAGTGGCCTCTTTCGGCAAGTGGTGGGAGCGGGCCAGCGTCGTCGCGGTGGAGATGATGGCAACAAGCGACGGCGGCAGCGGCGGAAGCAACGCGTCCGTTAGCTGGGGTCAATGGTGCTTCAACCAACCCTTCATGTCCAACGGCTGCCGCATCATGACCCAAGCCGTCTTCAGGAGGTCGTCCACGGATCAGCTGCAGGAAGTTCGCGACCAGCGGCAGCTCATTGCCCATACGGATGTCCGATGGAGTGATCGCCCGCGGTGCGGGCGGAGGGGCAACCGCATGTTAAAGAAGAACGTATAGTTGAAGTGTTTTGCGAATGCCAGGGTGAACATGACTGCAGGGACGGGCGCGACAACGTCGAGCATGGATCGACACATCGGACCTGAAGTGCGGTATGAAGGTGGCCAGCAGCGGTGGCAGCAGCCTGGGCCCTGGAATGACTGTAAGCGGGAATCTGGAAGGCCCGAGGCCGTGCGCAGGCGCGGCGGCGACAGAACCCTGTGGGCGCACGCCCTCGATGGAAATGGCCATGGGATCCATGTCGGCCCAAATGGGGAGGTAGGTCCCCCCACTCGAGCCAACCACGGAAGGAGGAGGAGCGCCAGTACCCTCAGAAGGTCTGGTCGGCTGCGCGGCCGCCCGCCGCCGACCAGACCTTCTGAGGGTACTGGCGCTCCAAGAGCAAAATCAAGGAGGGAGGAGGGGGAGGAGGAATAGGGGGGGAAATATGATGATGAGGGGGACATCATCCTCACCCTTCTCATTCTCCTGCTCCCCGTCCTGTTCCTCCTCCTCCTCCTCCTCCTCCTCGCGCTCCTCGCCCCTTCACCCTCCTCCTCCTCCTCATCCACGCGTTCTCCACCCTCTCCTCCTCCTTCTCCTCGGCACCTTTCTTCTCCTTACTCCTTCTTGCCCTCCTCCTTCCCCTCCCTCCCCTCAACCCCTTCTCCTTCTTCTCCTCTCTCTCCTCCTCCTTTTCCTCCCCTTTCGCCCCTCCTCCCTGTCCTTCCTTCTGCTCGTCCTTCTTTTCCTCCTCCTCCCCTTCCTCCCTGCGCTCCCCCCGTCCCTCTCCTCCTTCCCTGCTGTTTGGGCACCTCATGGCACCGCAATGCGCCACGATGGCCCGCCGCTGGACCCTCCCGGCGCCCGTGGGGCGGGCCCTCAATTCGTCACTGCGCCGTGCGGCCGTCGCCGTCGCGCGACGGCCGCGCGAGATGATGGAGCAAGGGAACGGGGCTCCACAACCACCACCAGCCACCTCCCCAAAAAAGTAGCTCGATAGTGAACAAACCAACCGCGTCAGCATAAACTTTCGGAGGTCCGCGCAGATTACTTGGATCGGCACTTGAACCCCGCTGGCAGCGTCTCCAGCGCCGCCCTTGGCGCACTTCTCGCCTCAAGGAGGGGGGGTCCGACGCCGATCCAAAGAATCCGCGCGGACCTTCAATAATATAAATTTACGTACTTTCTCTCCTTCTAGAGACGGGACTCCGCAAACATCACCCACATACCCTGAAAATAACTCCTCGCCCTCCCTCGATCATTCCGTAAAAAAGCCTTGTCCCCTTTCGCGTCGAAGACTTCCCAACCGGACGTGGGCGCGCTCGCGGCGTCCAAGTCTGCCGGGTCCTCGCCGAGCCTCGCGACGTACGCCCGCTTACCTGGTGCGGCGGTCGCGCTGTCGCCCTACACATTCTCCTCCCTTCCTCCTCCTCCTCCTCCTCCTCCTCCTCCTCCTCCCCCTCCTCCTCTTCCTCCTTTTCCTCTCATCCTCCTCGTCCCCCTCGAACCCCTTCTCCCTTCCTCCTCCTCCTCCTCCTCCTCCATCTCCTGCACCTCCCTCTTCTCCTCCTCCTCCTTTTCGCCCTCGTTTCCCTGACGAGTGGGGGAAGTCGGGCTGGAGGGAGGGAGTAAGGAGGAGGGGTACTGGTTAAATCATCATTGCGCTCTCTTTCCAACAATAGAACAATAAACTCCACAGCCCTCTCCGCCAGCTTATTGGATCCCCCGTGGATAATCATGAAATGAACGAGCGTTTTTTCCCCACAACGCATTTTCACATGAGTTTATACCATCCCAGGCAGGCTGGTGTTGACCCCCCCCTCATCCCTTTTAAATAATACCATGCGTGCGCGTTTGTTCATATAACAGCTTGTTATCTAATGCTTTCTTAGACAACAAATCGTAATGCCCATGCGGGCACGCACATGTCGAGCTCACACCAAGTACACACGAGTGTTGCAATCGTTTCAATGTTAGAACGAAAACACCCGCAAACTTGTCACCATAACTCATGTAGGTTCTCAATCCACGCGCATTCGCTGAAACCGTGCTACTATCTGATTTCACCACTTTCTCCCGGACCCGCATTGGCATCTCACCACGCGGTGCATCCGCGTTGACCCAACATGCGCCCAGTGCACGAATCCGCTTCAAATTATGCCATGTGGACCATACGCGCGCGCCGCCACGCACGCGTGTCGAGATCCTTCCAACACCATCGGTCGGTTGTCAACACATTTCAATACAGAACTCGTCCAATACATCTGAAAACAAGTGCTCGTCAACATGAAGGCTGCCAAATTTCTGGTCTGTCCGCGCGCGCACTTCATCATCATCGCCCTCACCAACGTCACCGTATTAACGCCGTTATCGTCATCGCCAACCGCCACCCTTACCACCATCATCAATCAATCACCGTCGTCACAAACACATGGACATCATCACCATCGTCTTCGTCGTCAATATCGGTACCGCAAATGGCCCTGCAATTGTCATCGCCATCATCGCCACCACCGTCGCTACCATCACTGTCGACCCATCGTGATACCGCGCCCGCCCGAGTCACCGACCCGCACTAAAGCGCCCGCGAGTCAACGCGGCCTTTGAGACGCGCTGCGAAATTTTCCTTGGGAAACGCGCCATCGCGGCCGCGTCGGTTGTGCCACAACGGGTGCCCGCCCTGCGCGCGAGCTCGCGCGAGCTTGCGCGCGCTAGCGCTGCCGTATAGATGCGCGCAACTAATGCCAAGTAGCCACCATAATCGCAACCGCATGGGTTGTGAACGATAAGCTGCGGTTGGGAGGGTGGGATGATCGCGCGAGCAGTGGAGTTAAGGACGTCAAGTTCTGCAATGCGGATTGCACCATTTAGGGTGCACATCGAGAGTGCAATCCACCACTCTTTGAGGGCTAGGCTCCCACCAACAACCTGTTGGCAACGATCATGCGGCCATGATCTCAACGAGCGCACGGCTCGTGGCACTCACGTGGCACTCAATCCTCGCAAGCATGTCCGTCCTGCATGTTGCGAGACGGTGGTGGCGATGACGACCGCGACGCCAACGATGATGACGATAACAACAGTGATGATGGTGATGCCAATGTTGATGGCAGTGGTGACGGAGACGATACGATGCCGACGACGACGATGATGGTGATGGAGCTGATGGTGACGATGACGGCGTCGGTGGCAAAGGTGACGCTAACGATGATTCTGGCGATGGTGCTGGTGATGGTGAGGATGTGCCCGCGCGCAGAAATTGAAGGATGGCAGCGGCCTCGACGATGCAGGTGATGACGGCGGCGGTGATGATGACGACGATGGTGATGATGATGGTGATGATGTCGACGACGACGACGACGATCACGATGATAAGGATGGTGGTGATTATGATGATGATGATGATGCTGCTGAGGATGATGATTCTGATGATAATGTCGATGATGATGATGATGATGATCATCATCATCATGCTGATGCTGATGACGATGATGATGCCGATGGTAATGATAACGATGGCGATGACGAGTGGGCTGATGAGGATGATGGGAAAGTGCGCGCCCGCAGAAACCATGATCCCCATGAGTGCTGCACCCGTTGGGTTGTGGTATGTTGTGAACACTTCTGTGCCGAAATGGTTCGGAAACAACCAGTTTTTAGCAGGATTTAGACGTGGGCGCGCGCGGGGACGCGCGGGTGCGGCCCGTATTGTACCATTTGACAATATTGATGGGCGCGCGATGGTGGTTGAACGTTCGTCACGCGCGCGCGCATGGCCTTCTTTGACAGAGCGACTAGACTTCTATGGTTCGCTTTTAGTTTCAACCCGTACGTGCGCGCAGAATGCTGGCCCTATCCAGGGGTGCATCCTGACCAGCGTATCGAGGCGGATCCAGCCGTAGCGAGGGGACGGGGGCACCTCCGGAGGGCGGCGAACGGCGTTCAGAAACTTCGCTCGACCTAGTGGTTTTCAACCTGATATTGCCATGCGCGCGCGGCGGTGCATGCATGTCCCCGCATCGTTGTTAAATTCTCATACCTAAACAATAACTATTGTTGATCCCCCCTTCCCGGTGCCCATTGCGTTTTCCAATTCAAGTGCTCCTGCAGGGGCTCGCATCCTGTTTTCTACAAGAGAAAGGTCTTGAGGCTCAGACTTGGCCCCTACCCCTCGGCTTACAACAACACCAGCAACACCAACAACACGAACACCACCACCACCACCACCACCACCACCAACAACAACACCAACACCTACACTACCACCACCACCACCACCACCAACAACAAGTCAACAACAACATCAACATCAACAACAACAACAACAACAACAACTGGTCCCGCCTGGTGCCTCCTCACGATTTATCCCCACATCGCGCTCTCGCCTGGGACATCCTGACAATTTAGACAGGAATCGTGCTCTCGCGATTTATTCAGACGCCGCGCCCCCGACACTTAGGAATCACGGTTTCGCCTTCCACGATTTATTTGGAAAATCACGCTGTCGCTCGAGACGTCCACGCGATTCATGCAGGACTCACTCTTCAGTAACCCGCCTGCTCGACCTGGCCGCCTGGGCCGCCTTCCCGAAACGCCCGTGAGGGCCTACACGCACGATCTGTCCGTCTGGTTCTGCCACGTGTTTTCTGCTCCTGACCCCCTCCTGCTGATCTCTCTCGTGCTGCATCCTTCTCCCCTCCGCATTGCCCCTTTCTTGAATCAGTCCTCTCTTCCCCTCTTTTAGGGGCTGCGCCAAATGCACACGTTGCAGGTACGGAAGATATACCCCAAAAGGGGTACGATCGAAAATGAAGAGGGCGGGTATCGAGGGTTCTGGATATACGTGTTGAGTGGCACGCGAGCATACGAAAACGAACAATCTTGAAGTGGTTGTTGATGACTGTTGTTGTCCCCCCCGGTGCCCATTGTGTTTTTCAACTCAAATGCTCCTCCCTGGGCTTGCACCTGGTTTTCTACAAGGGATCTTGGGCCTCAGAATGCGTTGTCGGCCCCCGAACTGCAACAACAACGGCTCCCGCCTGATGCCTCCTCATGATTTACTCCAAAATCGTGATCTAGGAATCGCGCTCTCCCGTGGGACTTCTCCGCAATGTATTGAAACGCTGCGCTCTCGACACTCAGGAATCACGCTCTCGCTCCGGACTTCCTCAAGATTAACTTTGGAATAACGCTATCGCTACAGGCTTCTTCGCGATTCATGTTGAATAGACGCTTCAGCGACCCGCCTGCTCGACTCCGCCGTTTGGGCCCGCCTGCCCGACCCTCCCATTAGGGTTCGCCCGCCCGACCCGCCCATTCGGGTTCTGCCGCTCCAGACCCCCCGTCCTGCTAATCTCTCTCGAAATCCATCCTTCTCCCTCTCCCATGTCTCTTCCCTCCTCCATCCCTTCCCCTCTTTTAGGGGCTCCGCTAACTACATGTGGCAAGAAAAAAAGATATAGCCCCAATGGGGGTAGGTTCGAAGACGAAGGCGGCGGGGATCGAGGGTTCGGGATATACATGTCGAGCGGCACGCGAGCATATGAAAATGAAACATCTTGTTCTCCCCTCCCCGGTGTTCATAATAATTTTCAAGTCAAGTGCCCCTCCTAGGGCTCGCAACCTGTTTACTACAAGGGCAAACCTTAATCCTCATAGTGCATTGTTGGCACCCGAATGACAACTACAACAACAACGGGTCCCGCCTGATGCCTCTTCACGATTTATTCCAACATCGTGCCCTCGCCTGGGACATCCTTACAATTCAAACAGGAGTCGGCTCTCGCATGGGACTACCTCGTAATGTATTCAGACGCTGCGCTTTCGACACTCAGGAATCACGGTTTCGCTTTGGCCTTCTCACGATTTACTTGGGGAATCGCGTGTCGCTCGAACCTTCCTTGCGACCCATGCAAGAATCACGCTTCAACGACCCGTCTTCTCGACCCGACCGCCTGGATCCGCGAAACTGACGCCAGTTTCGCGGGCTGCTGGAGGTCCAGCGAAGCGACGTCCCACGCAAACCAAAATAAAGGGGAGCTGCGAACTGCGAAACTGACGCCACTTTCTTTCGAAGGCTGCTGGGGGGTCCAGCGGAACGACGTCCCACGCGGATGCAAGTTACACTCGTCATCCCTGGCGTGTGTGATTGTGCGAAACTGTCGCCACTCTCGAGGGGTGCTGGGGGGGTCCAGCTGAGTGCCGTCCCTCGCGGACCTAAACTGAACACCGCCATCCCTCGGGGCTGCAATCTGCGAAACTGTCGCCACTTTCGAGGACTGCGGGGGGGTCTAGCGGAGCGACGTCCCACGCGGAGTTCACTTAGACCTCGCCGTCCCTAGAGGGCTGCGATCTGCGAACCTGTCGCCACTTTCGAGGGCTGCTAATGTGGTCCAGCGGAGCGACGTCCCACGCGGACCTACATTAAGCCTCGCCATCCCTGGGGCGACTGCGATCTGCGAAACTGTCGCCATTCCCGAGGGCTGCTGGGGGGTCCAGCGGAGTGACGTCCCGCGGGTCCCGAAGACCTGGCGGCGCGCCTGCGGGTGTTTAGCTCCCGCGCTGCACGGTGCAGGAAAGAAAAGGAGCACCTGGTGGGCGAAGTCGGCTTCGCTCGCTTCCTGCACTAGCCGTGAGCAACTGGTCCTCTGGAGCGCCATAACGAAATGGCGCGGGCCGTGCTGCTTGTCCAACGCGCCACCGGGAACTGGTGGCCACCCTCTTCCGTCATCCTGCTGCTTTGGTTGTCGTCCTCTTCCTAATTCGCCGTCTCATTGCTGCTGTTGCGTTGACTGTTCGGCCCCTCTTCCGTCCTTTTCCTGCCCCTCGTTCCCACCCTCTTCTCGAAACCACAAACCCTAAGACAAATAAGAGGGAGGGAAGGGGAAATATAATTTTGAGGTTATGGGGGAGCTCAAGCTGGTAGGTGAGCGCAACATGGGGTTGACGCGCATGCGGCAACATCAACCGCCACTCGCGGCCGAACGGGCAATTCAAATTAGTTCCGAAATTGTGGTTTCTCAAACTAAAAAAAACCACGTTTGTGACCCGTCCGGGCAACGAAAACAATGACCCGTTGAGATAAACGAGTGTGCATGCAAAGTTTTGGATGAAACGTATGGGGGGGCGATCACTGGTGGTCTGGAGAAACTTGACTTCGTATGGAAAGTTAGCGATGAGCCAGAACCTGATGTGATTTGCACTGTCCCAAAGAGTCCAGGTAAGTCCAGGTGCGCGAGGGGGGGTTTTGTTATCAAGCGATGACCCAAAACTGCCAGCCAGCGCGCGGGGCGGGTACAAGCGGCCACCGGGTGAAAATCCCCAAACATCCAAGCAACACACAAAATGGACACGAGGCGGGCACCCAGCGAACAGCCGTGGAACCTCTTTATTAACGTAAGAACTAAGCAGAGGTCACTGGTGCAATCATGGCGAGTGAACAAGTTCAACGTGAATCAGTACCCTTGCAAAACGGCGCGGAGGTCAAGTCCTCGAGGTGCAGGGGGGGCACCCGAAAACACCGCCCTGCCTGACACTTGCCACCCGCTCCCTTTCACAGAAGAGGCTGGTTTGTTTCAAGCAAAACCCGACATGGCAATGATTCGGCGCCCTCCAAAAGAATGTGTTACCTTCGGCTTCGCAAGCGAAGGTCGTCGGACGCTGGAGCGGAACCAAGGGAAGAAGCAGCATCGAAAACGGTGCGGCGCGGAAAGACAACGACCTGCCGCGCCCTTGCCTACAGTCGAACCGTGAATGAAAGGTCAACACTGGCACCGCTTCTGATACTCTCCCCCTTTCCTCTCGCTCATCCAGGTTCAGTCCACCGCGTACTTCGGCAGGAACTATCGAACGCATACCCTGGAGGAGCTACCGAACGTAAGGGCCTATCGAACTATCCCGCTCATCCAGGATTCGAGCTTCGACGCATACCCTGGCAGCAAATATCGAAGATAAGGAAACACGTGCACGCACAGCTCCATACTTTGCACCCTGTGTTGCCTGGGAAGTCACTTGCCATGGAAAGCAATCTCCTTTCATCCCCTTCGCCCGCCTCGGAGGGGGAGCAATGTAATGCAACCTAAATGGTGCAACCTACGGTGCGCAACTAATTATTACCAGATCGTGAGTTGGCACCTCCAATGCTGGCGCAATCGTCCGACCCTTCCACCCGCGATTTGTTCTGAAAGCCCGTGCGGCCGCGAATTACGATGACTGGTTGGCCCTGGCTGGCGCATCTCTGCGGCCGGGATTGCCAGCGCAAGCTCGCGCGCAATGCGGCCAGCTGGTTTGGTACAGCCGATGCGGCCGCGATGTCTCTTGTCTCAAAGGCCGCGCTGGTGCGCGGGCGCTTCAATGCGGGTCGGTGACTGGGGCGGGCGCGGTATCATGATGACGTCGACAACGGCGGCAACGATGTTGACAATAGCGATGACGATGGCGGCGACGACGACGACGAGACCAGGCCAATGGCGGCGCCGATGCTAGTGACGACGATGGCAATGATGATGGCCGCGTGTCGGTGACGAAATGGTTTGAGTGATGAAGGCAGCACTGGCGCCGATTGTCGATGACGTGATGCCGCGGCGCTGATGCGGAAGATAGCGAAGAAGTGCGCGAGCGCGGCAATTCAAGAAACCTGGCAGACATCTGGTTGAACAACATTCGTGTTTTTTGCTCGTACGTGTTTGAACAATCATATGTGGAGTTGCTTCGGACACCACTAGCTTTGGCAAGGTTTCGGCACGCGCGCGTGGCGGCGCGCGCGTGTGGCCCGCATGGTGTTATTTGATATGGATTCGTGCGCTGGGCTCCACGCGCCGCGTGGTGCGTGCTGAGATAACAATGCAGTTGCTGAACGAGATTGCTAAAGTTATCAGGTTTTGGTATGACTGCAGCAGATGCGCGCGGGCATATAATCTTCAGTCTTTGTATTGGCAAACCTGTGGTGGTTTGACGTTTTCATGTTGGAGCGCTTGCAACACACATTCGTTTGGCATGACTTGACGTGTGCGCGCGGGTGTGGACTTTGCGCCACCTTGTGCAAGGCATTCTGGAACAACGTACTTTGCGATAGACGAACGTGCGCGCATAACATTATTTGACAGGGAAGAGAGTAGGGGACGATAACCCGTTGGCTGGTAAGGTATGAGACCATATGGAAAATGAGCGATGAAACGCCATTCATATATAATCTTCAATGTTCCGGGGGGGGGGGGGGCGGGCCGATAAATCTGGGGGGGGGGTGAGGGTGGTAGTGTATACCATTCTTTTGAAAGAAGAGTCTATTCGGTGCAGGCTGTGTGGTGCAATCGCTGTGGTGTAAGCTATGTGGGGCGTGACTGGCCGCGTCGACCCCACAACCAAGGGGGAAGCACGCGCACATATTCCGATGCTCTCCCCTCCCTTGCCCTGGGGGGAGGCGCCGCTCCGAGCGGGCAGCACACGAGCAACTTCCGGCAGAGGGCACTGCTTCGCAGCCTGCACGGGCCCTCTTGCCCCGGGATTGGTCTGGAGGCCTAAAATGGAGAGAATCCGCCTTGATTTCTTCACGACGAGAGGAGGTATGGTGACGAGGGGATGATGAGCGGGCTGCCTTTCATTTGTCATGCCCCAGTCGCCATTGTCGGCGCGTTGGATGGTCCACATCGGCCCGTCCTTGACGGCGGACGGGTAGATCACCATGCAGAACTGCCCAGTCTCCTGAGAGCGGACCAGCGTCGGACGTGGGGTGCATGATGCCGGGGAGTGGGAGGAGAAGGGCGGAGGAGAGGATGAGGAGAAGAATGCCTGGAGGAGGGGCAGGAGGAGAACAAGGAGGAGGGACAGGATGGTGCGAAGGATGGTGGTAAGGAGAAAAAGAAGGAAGAGGCGGTGGAGCAGGAGGCAGGATGACGATGGTGGTGATGATGGTGATGGTGATGGTGATGGTGATGGCGATGATGATGCTGCTGCTAATAATGTTGATGATGCTGATGATGATGGTGATGCAGATGATGCTTGTTCTCTTATACATATTCTCCCCCCTTCCCATGAGAAAGAAGAGTTGAGTGAGAGGATGTTGCTCATATTGCCCCCTCCCTCAGGATGCCGTCGGGTGCTGACGAGCTGGTCATATGGTCTGCAGTTCCCACCAGGCTGCGGATACCGTCATCTTCCCTTTCGCCTGTTCCCTCTTCACCCTCCAGAGGATGATGGTAAAAGGGGGGCGTAGGAAGAGGATGCTGTTGAAGAGGAAGTGCGACGACAGGCACGCGGTTACAGGAGGGTCTGTCCGCCAGTAGCCCTTTGAGCGAGAGGATGACGTGGACACTGCGCGTAACGTGGATGCCTCCCTGTGGGTGTACAAACCCCAGCAGCGTGCTGAAGAACCAACGACTCCGTCGACCGTTTCTCGCTTGTTGTATCCCCCAACGACCCACCAGGTATTCACAACCCCCGTCCCTCACGTTATGCACCCCCAGCGGGGAGATCAAACCGCGCCAACAACTCCTCGGCAGGGAGGAGCTCGGCAGGAATTTCCCTCCTCCTGTGGTCGGGGTGGTGGTCGTTGGCGGCGCGATTGAAATTAGCCTAGGTGTGAGGGTAAGTAAAGTGGCGCAGGCAGCGCTAGCTAAGCCCCTCGTGTGCACGGAGACCCCCCGAGCACTGACCACAAGCCGAACTAAGCAGGATACATACCGCAAGCCTTAGAGTGCAGCCCTGAGGGTTCTGACGCACCTGCCGAAATCACGGGTTGTGGCCTGGGCAAGTGCCGCCCTGCTGACAGTACGGTGGGGCCCAACTCGTAAATACAAGCAGTCCAGGCGCGGAGGCATGAGCCACTCGAGTCTTAGCACGAGACCTGGGCATGCACTTCGCTCGCGTCCAGGAGTTACGATGGCGAAGTCTGGTAGGAAAACAAGAAATCAGTTAATCAAACTCCTCATCTGAATTAATGTCGAACTCTCGAGCCGCCTCCTCCTCCTCCTCCTCCTCCTCCTCCTCCTCCCCGCGGAGCGAATCTCGAATTCTAGCTCGGTCAGCTGGAGCTGGGAGCAGGGCTTAGCTATCTTCTGAGGCGAGAGGGAGTGGAAGAAGGCGGACGTGTGTGTGTGTGTGTGTGCGTGTGTGGAGGAAGCAGGCAGGAAAGAAGACGGTCAATGATTAGGACAGGGACATGCCGTCTGCCGCCCAACCTCCTTGCGATTACACACTCCTCCCCAGCCTCCCCTCTCTCTCCTCACCTACATTGTTGGGGTAATGATAATCAAGCTCTGGCGATCTCCGCGCAATGTATGGCCCCACAACTGAACAACCCCACAAGCTACATGGAGGGAAGACGGGTTCTTTTGAACATTTGGATATCGCTCGAGCCCCATTCGCGCTTCATGTTCCTAACCAGGACAAGTCCGACATTTCCACGGACAAAGGTTGGATCTTTCAACATACGAGTTCTCGCTCGAGCCTTCCTTGTATGTGCTTCATATAGAAATTCTCTGCAGCTGCACTGATGGAGGACAACGCCTGTCCAAACATCATGTTCTCGCTGTGGACCTTTTCTCATTTGATGATCCCGAAGCTAGAGCGGTCCAACGGCCAACGGCGTCGACAGAGGGCGGCTGTTTTCACAATCGTGGCCTCGCCTCGTCGTTGCGCATTTTCCTTGAAGCTCCTGCCCAATAAACATATGGAGGTCGGCTCCCTCTCGAGTTCACTGTGATCCGGGGTGATCCGCCACGCTGTGTAGTGGCATGGTGCATGATGCTTGACCGGCGTGTAACGCCGACGATGTTCCCACTCACGGGCGACGAACTTTTCTCGCATCCGTGTCCTCACGGTCCGGGCCCCGAAGCACGATCCCATGGCTACGCGGTCCCACGGATGCATTTCGCGCGGGACCTCCGCGCAACGCCGCCCTGGATCCATGGGGGCGCGGGCAAGAAGGAGCCGAGACAGCGAAGCTGTGGATGCGGAGATGCGCGAGGGCAGAAACTCTCGACGTCGGCGCTGCTCGCAAGGGCGGGAGCGGGGAGCACCAGGGTCTGGGGCCCCTCCCGGGACCCAGGTCTGGCCGAAACCACCTCGTCCCCCCCAAACGCAGACGGCATCATTCCGGTCTGAATCCGAGCGGTCGGAACTTCGGCCAGCGCCCACGGGGGCAAGGATCCCAGGCTGCGAGGCTGTGGATGTGGACATGGATTCCGCCCGCGACAGAACTCCAACCCTGCCGCTGCCGACGGTGCGGGCGGGCCACTTCGGGCTCTGTCTCTTCCTGGCCCTCCCACGGTCCCACGCACCTGGCGCGGGCACGGTGAGCAGCGGGCTGTGCACCCGTGGCCGTGTGCTTGTGGCATGGCCCCGAGGCCCTTGCCTTTCCAGCATGGGGCTCGTCGTGGCACGGGAGGAGTGCCTGCGCTGACCTAGCCCTGTGGGGAGGAGGCCTGGGGCTGGGAGGCGTGCGCCGCAGCATGATCGATGTGTGATGGGCTCACTTTGATCCCCTCCTCTTCCACCTCTTCCCCCTCCCCCTCTGCCTTCTCCTCTGCCTTCTCCTCATTTCCCTCGCAGTCCGCGGCACTCACGACCTCCATGATGAAGAGGAGGGGATGAGGACGAGGGGGAGTAGGAGGAGGAGGACGACCATGGGTGGGGGGGCTGGAGGAGTTGGACGAGGAGCTGAAGGATGGGGGTCAGGCGAATGGGTATCCTCTTTCTCCCTCCTCCCTCTGATCCCCCTCCAGCTCCACACGCAAATCTCCGTCCTCCTCCGCCTCCTCCTCCTGCTCCGCCTCCTCCTCCTTCTCCCTCTTCCTCATCCTCCTCCTCTTCAGCCTCCTCCTCCTCCTCCTCCTCCTCCTCCCATCCCCCTATCCGTCTCCTCTCCTCCTCATCATCCTCCTGCTTCTCCTCCTCCTCCTCCTCGTCTTCGTCGTCGTCGTCGTCGACCGTCGCCGTCGAGCGCGCCTGGTAATACACGGTGATGCCGCCGTCCGGCCGCCTCTCGATCTGCTCGGCGCGCCTGTACGTGCCGTTGACGTCGGGGAGCCCGGCCCCCGTCGCCTGCGGAAGGGGGAAGGAGGAGGAAGAGGCAGAGAGGAAGCGGAGGAGAAGGAGGAGGAGAACCATGAAAAGCACGTTTTTTTGCTATATTTTTCAGGTCACTTCAGGAGAAGGAAGCAGAGAGGGAGGGGGGGGGGAGGGGAGGGACGAAGAGGGAGGAGGGAGCACGGACCTAGACGAGAGAGCGCGCCGAGTTCGGTGACGGGACTGAGCACAGCGTAGGGAAAACCGGAGGGGAGCAGCTCCAGATCATGAAAGTGAGCCGACGACGGGGCTCACGATTCAGGGGGCGGGGCAACGGTCTCAGCAGAAGAAGGTGCATGCATTAGGCGAATCCGAAGCCATACGGCCGCGTCACCTGAGAACTTGAAAGCGTGGGGTGTGGCGATGCATCGCATGGGCACCTTCAGGTGCAACTTCGTATCGCGCTTGCGGTCACGCTTGTCCCTGCGCGAAAGACTGCGCTCAAGCGACTCAGGCCTGCACTCCTCGCACATCTGGGATTGCGAGCCACCCTCACACCAGGGGCCACATCCTCAACAGGCCAGGAGTGCCTGTAACAAACACCTCATGGCCACGAGAGAGAGAAAGAGAGAGAGAGAGAGAGAGAAAGAGAGAGAGATACATAGAAATAGAGAGAGAAATAAATAGAGAGATATAGATAGGGATAATATCCGAAGGCTCAGCAGGACCGTCGGTGCTGACAGGCGGAACAGCTTTCTCGGGGCCCACCTCCAGGCAAGGGCCGTCAGGGGCCAAGCCAAGCACTGGGTGCTGACACCTGCGGGTCGAGGGGAGGAGAGCGTCCGGGGAGGGAGGGGAATCACACTCGAAGCGCACTCTCGGCCTGACAAAACGGGCCGAGTCCTCATCAGTGAACCCTCTCAGGCGCGTGAGGTCGAGGTGAGAGGCTTCGGTCGACGGCAGCGGCGACGGCATCACGACGGCCTCATCGCACAACCTCTGCGCATCCGAGAATCACATCCTGGGCCTCACGCGCCGAAAGGGGGACAGAGGCTCATCGCAGCTCTCGCCTCTGGGCATAATTCTGGGGCTGGACTGAGCAGCCCTCCGGCTTCCCCCCCAAGCGGCGGCGGCGGCGGCGCATGACCGGCGCTGGCCTCGATGCTCTCTCTGTCGGGGCGGGCCGCCGCCGACAAATCTCTGCGGGCAAACTCGCGCGCGGGAGCGAGCGGGCGCCGCCCCTCTTTTCTCGGGCACCTCCAACGGCCTCTGTCCCACGCGACCCACTGACAAACATTCTGGGGGGGGGGGGCACTCCTGCGGCTGGGGGGCTTGGCGCGCTTGCGTCTAAGAGGCGTGGTGGTCCTGTCAGGCAAGAGTCACCCGTTAACCTGGGCCCCCCTGCGACTGAGTACCCCTGCAGGGCGCTTGACGGGGGGGGGGCGGCGCGGGCCAGGGCAGTATTCTCCGAGTGCGCGTGCAGCTGCCCGCGCAATCGTTCTCAACTTTTTCCAGGAACCCTTCGACCTGATAGGGCGTGACCCAGGCAAACGAAAGAATGGCGCGGTTGAAGCCTCCGTGATCACCGAATGTATCTCCAGATGGCCCTCCAGAAGTCAAGATTCTGACGCGAAGGCTCCAAGCACCGCTCCCGACCGCGCTGCGTGATGCCCTCCGCAGCATGGACTTGGTCCGATTCAATGTGAAGCGGGCCGCTGTCATCTTCAACGGCCTGGTATAGCACAGAAAGCTCGGTTCGGGGAGCGCTGTGCTGATGGCCCAGGAAAGCGCCGCAAGCATGGCCCACAAAAACAAGGCCGCTCATGACCTCGAGACCCCGAGCCGCCCCGGGCCGACTCGGGCCAAGAGGCCACTCCCTCCCCTTCCCCTCCTCCTCCTCCTCCTCCTCCTCCTCCTCCTGCTCCCCCGAACCATCCGTGAACGCAGTTCCAAAATAATCTGCGCCGTGGCGTTGGCCCCGAGCATGGACTCCCCCCGCTTCTCGACGAGGCAGGGGGGGCCCGAGGTCAGGCCGCCCAGGCGCGCGGAAGCAGGCAGTGCTGAACCAATGGGCACTGTGAGGGAGCCCGCTCGCATCAGTAGGGAGCCCACAAAGGACGTACGCGCCCAGCTATGTACATGAACACGGCCTCTCGATCTGCGAGACCGGCCGCGTGATACGAACTTTCGGGCAATGCGAACTCTCGAAACCAGCGTGGATTCATGTACGTGTACGTCCTTCTTTCGCTCCTGAATCAGGTGAGGAGCGTCTGAGGCCTCCTGCAAAGCATCTTCGCGCTGAGAGCGCTGCCAGAAGCAATGGCCAAGGACGCCTTTGGGTTGTGCCTCGAGCCCGGCATTCCTGACTCGCTTCCGGGGGGACTGCTGTCCTCCGAGAAGTGCCGATCGGAGCGCGGCCGTCGCTGAGCTGGAGGGGGCCTGGGTGGCTCTGTCCTAGGCGGCAGACGACAGGGCCCACATGGGGTCTAGCCAGTATCCGCCAAGCGCTCTGAAGGTCCTCGTGTCGGGGTCTTCGGGGGACTGCCCCTCCTTCCTCGACCGCCCCTCCCAATGAACGGCTTCGACGTCGCGTCTGGCAGGAGTGCGAATCCAAAAGGGGGCGCTCGTCTCTGAGGTCGAGCCTGATCGCCCGATCTAGTTTGTCAACAGAAAGCAGACGAAGCAACCCGCCTCAGTCTGCGCATCTGGAGGGCGAGGGCCCCTGCTGGGCCTGTCGCCTTTTTTCCAGGGATGGTCCGACTTGGCGACCTGGACCGTTGGCAACTGCACGCGTCCTGAAGGATTTCCCGAGGGGCGGCGGCTGCAGCCGCCAACTTAGCACATATAAAGATGGGATGTGGCCGCCAAACACCCGGGTTGTTCAAAACAGTGGCTCGAGCATTGAGACGACGGAAGTCGATGGCGCAGCTGGCGTCTTGGACCACCCGCTGCGCGCGCATCCCATTATCTGCTTCGCAAGATGATGGGGCGCGCTGGAAACTTGCAAACCAAGCGTCATGCCACGCCCGCCTTGAAAAATCGCCCGCGTGGACCGATGGGGCCCGTGGAAACGGGTGGCCCAGCCTTGGCGTTAGCGATGCTCTCAGCTGCCTGCCTCCAGCCGCCTCCATGCCAGGGACTGTCATCGTGGACGCCGTGCAAAACCCATGCATCATAACTCTCCTGGCAGCTGAAGTGGCCAACTTGATGTCAGTAGCCATCACATTGGTTTTGTTCCAAGCGATAGACAGTCCTGCATCCCTCGGGGTGTCGGCGAGCAGCTCCAACGTGGCCGTGGCTGCCAGGGCGACTTCGGGCCGTGGCGCCACCTGCTGCAGCGTGAGCTCGTCGGCGTGGGCGCCCAAGGCCCTGGGGGTCGCGGCCATCTGATCCATGCGAGCGTCCAGCGGCCCCGCCAGGAGTAGCTTCCAGGAAAAAAAAACATCGAAACATCGCATCCTAGCAGCGCCCCTCTGGCCACGGTGACGGCGCGACAGAAGGGCCCGTCCGGGACCATCTGCGCGGGGCGCGATGCATGGCCGGCGCCATGCGCAACAAACTGAAAAAGGGATACTGAAGCGGCGAGCTGCCTCGACGCGCGCAGGCCACGGCGCGCGGTCGAAGCGCGCGTTGATGCCCGCCAGCCCCGCGACCGCAGGTGCGTCGGGGTGCCCGGCCGCAGCCTCGGAGCGCGTCGACGGGCAGGCGGCAACGTCCGCGGTGCACCTTTTGGATTCCAATGGCGAGGTAAAGGCGTATGTTGTCCACTGTCCATCTCTGGGCGTGCGCGGTGCGCGCCTTCGCCCAGGTGCGGCGCGCCGCTGGCAGCAACGCAATCAGGCGGTGTCCTCCGCTGGCCTTGGCCACGGGGATGATGTGCGTCACGTGCGTTTGACTGGGCCACCCGTGCCGTCTCTCGATGCCCCGCATCAAATTGACGCGGTGCGCCAGCGCCTCGTTTGACAGAAGCGAGACGGCTCTTGGTGGGACCCTGTCTGCACCTGTGCCCGTTTCTCTGAGGGGGGGGGGGGGGCCCGGCCGAACGTCGGACGTTCGACGCCTTGGGCGCGGGCAGGGGGGCGACGTCGTTCCCGCCAAACAAGGCGCGTGCGTCGTCTGGGATGTCTCCCTCGCCGTGCAGATGGCCGCCTTGCCTTCCCAACTCTAGCGCCAAGAATCCTTCTGTCCGTCAGCCGCTGCCAAGGCCTGGGATGCGTCAGAACGGAAGATGCCAGGTTGAGTGCGTGCCCGATCCGAGTGTAGCTGAGGACTTGCGTGACATTCGCGACGGGAGTGTCCTGGGCCCATCGCAGGAATCCAGCGCGACGCGCAACACCACGGGCATCCTCCAAAGACGAAGGGCGTCAACAAGCAGCGAGAGCAGAGACCGTGCGCGTGCGAGGCGATCGACTGGGCCAAGATGTGTCTGGGCGGAGGACGAAGGGCAGAGGGTCCGCGCACGGGTGATATGCCACTGGACAGGTCTCAGCCAACCTCGGGCGCGATATTTCAGGAGGAGGAGGAGGAGGAGGAGGAGGAGGAGGAGGAAGTAAGGAAGGAAGGAAGGAAGGAAGGGAGGAGGAGGAGGAGGAGGAGGTCTGAAGACCCGACGAAGCTTATGACATCTCTGTTCCAGGGCCCGAACCTCATCACCCGCGGGCGCGACGGCAATGTCTGAGATGGACTGGGCAAGATCCCTGGGCATCCGAGCCTCGGGAGTACTGGGTGGCTGGGCCCTCTGGTGGAGAGACCGCCCGCGGTGCGCCGCGTGTTTGTGGGGCCCTCGGACCTTCCTTCCCGTCGAGCGCCTCCGATCGCGCGCCTGATGCACGTGGCGCAAGTCATCTTCCACCACTGCAGGGAAAAGGGCCATGCAACGCAACAGTCCTAGGCGCCAGCTGACCTGTGTCCGAGGGCACCCTTAAATTCGAATTCTCAGCGATGAGGCCCATGTATGGCTGGGGGTTGGGGGTGCGTGGGTGGGTGGGTGGGTGGGTGGGGGTGGGGTGGGGTCAAGATAGCCAGCTCGAGCGAGT